TGGCCTTAGATTAAGAATAATTTAAGAGCATTATTGATATATATTGAATATCAAATGACTTAGAATAAAATATTGAAAATATTTTGAATGTTTGAACCATATATTGTGTGCATGATACCAAATGGTTGATTATGAATTGAGATTCAATTTATGTGGATGTTCGATGTTTTAGATATGCTTACTCAGCTTCACCGCTGAGCGTGTAGTATGTTTTATTTGCTACACGCAGGTAAACAGAAAGATTAATGTGATCCTGGCGGCAGATGGGGCGAGATTGTCGGGATGGATGTGACAAGTTTTGAAATGATTTATGATATGTCAATATTAAATTCGCTTCCGCAATATTGTTAAATACTCCGTACTGTATATGTTATGAAAAATATTATTGAGATTAATAAAGTGTGTTTGAAAAGTTTTAAATTTTACGATTACCAAGTTAAATACTTTAGTCCGAAAGGGGCTGCAGACCTGGACGGATTAGGGTGTTACAATTTGGTATCAGAGCAAATGGTTTTAAAACCGATCTTCGGATCAAAAATTTGAATTAAAAAAAATATTGTCAATCACATCCACGACTCTCGTGTCCCTCTGCTCCAGGAAAAAGGTATGCGAATTTACTTGGTAAATAATGACTCTATTAGAATTCTCATTAAATGACAATTGATTAGTACTGAAATCATATCGAGCATAGACTCTAGTAGAACTTTCGTACTCAGTGAAGAGACGAAATAATGAACGAAAAATATATGACTCTCTGATACGTTATTAACGTTTGCATCGCATCGCGAAGGACGAAACTGATCTGCATCGCGAAGTTGTATGAAAGTGAGATGACTCTTAAGAAACAATAAATGTTGAGAAACACCTGCGAGCTGATGTCAAAGATCCTCATGTAGACTCAAGACGATCTAATCGCTGATTCAAACACGAACATTTAGAATCAATAAACTCTGTTATCTAAAATATCAAATACTATTGTTTCACTCATTAGGACACATTATGCGATTACATAATGTGAATTGAAATTGTTCGTTAAGCAACAATTCTTTGTAAAACATCGTTGAGGAACCATACAAGGAAAATCGACATTATCCTTAGTATGCATTAACTGACTGAACGTCGTTGCTGTTGTCAACTTGTGATGAAGAATTTCTCAACTGAAGACCATTGATGAAACCTTATATAGGTGAAAGCAAAGCTGATTTCTAAACCGACCGAGTTCATCTCGAACTTATGTGCGCAAACCTCTCAACCAAAAGGGCGTAAAGTCCTTTTGTGTGATACGGGAAAGAAAGATCTGAACTGAAGGACCAATATTCGATATTGAACGTGTTTCCATCAATGACTTCCTGACAAAGAATCATCTGACCAAGTGTTTCCTCGTTGGAAGAATACTTGTTTTGTTCATACGCGGATCAATGAGACTCTATATCAACTGCTGTCAGTTGAACTGTTCGTTATCGTTTACCTCGTATCATGACTTATTTGATCAGCTTAGAGAATCCATTGTATTCTCTAAGATTGACTTACGGTCAGGATACTAACAAATCTCTGTTAAGAAACTTGAACAAACTGACGATTGGGAATTGCTATCCTTTACTATAAACTGACGACTTATTCGATCAAATTCAAATAACCTGCTTGTTAGAAGCTATAGACAACTCAACCTTGTTGAATGAACTGATGCCTTATGAAGCGATTAATGACCTAATTGCTTATCATCGAAAACGTCGATGTAGTATGATCGAATAAATGAAGTAAGTGATGCTCACAAAATAAATCATTAAGATAGTTGACTCGTTCGTATATCATTTTGACGTGAAAAGATCGCGATTGTGGTGACGATATGACGTGAAACAGCGACAATTTGGAAGTCGACAATCCCCCAAGTAATATTTACCTATTTATAAAAGCATTATTTAATTAGTATGTATACGTGTATTGCTTAAGTAAATTTCAACAAGAAAGGCTTCTTTTAGCATGAAAGGAATATACCTGATGGCACTTTGAGGCCATTTGATCTCGAAGTGCATCATTTAAAACTTTTGAATCATGCGCGGAACACTCCCATTCACTAAGCACGTATATAAATTCCATATCAATGTTGGATGCAACTAAGACATTTTGAGATATAGTCTCGTGACAATTTCGATAACTAATCACTTGGAATATGGGTGTCACAGAACCCCTTTCGTGTCAGCTATCATTAGAATGATTTTACCTTTGGAGGTACCTAGCTATCGCCTCAAGGTACCCCCTACCGTGACATGCGACCCCCTTACCATGTAATGGTATCATAGCTAGTGTCTGTAACAGTAAAAATTTTCAAAATCCCGATTTTGAATTTAATGAACTTTAATTAGTCAATATCCTTTCTAATCACTCTCGAATGGTCATAAACAAACACATTTGGTATTCAACGGTAAAAGATGCTTCAATCCATTATTTTTCTTTGAGAATCCAAACTCTAATCTCTCATCCTCATAATCAAAGTGTGTTCTTACTACTGTTCTTATATATATATATATATATATATATATATATATATATATATATATATATATATATATATGCTTAAAAGAGCCTTGATTTTATCTCAAATTTCACACACACATATTGAGTTTGTGATATAGTAATAAAAACTCATATTCATATGCTTATTTTTGAATTTTCAAATAGTTTAAAATCTCGTTCTACACTGACCAAGTCCTGTTCTTATTCCTTCATAAAAAAGTTGAGGTGTAGAACTTTGCTTCTCTGATTTGTATATCCTTCTTCGGTTGAGAATAACCGTTAAATTCTTACGTTGCAACAATTAATAACAGCCAAGAAATCCTTGCATAAAAAGTTCAAGGATAGCATACAAATCCTTGGGGGGGGGGGGGGGGGGNNNNGCGATCAAAGATAGTTGTGAATTCTTCATTGTAAACGGTGCAAGATAATCGTTGTGAAATATTAGGGTGAATTATATTGGCAAGGGCTCTTTGTCAAATCTAGTACGATGCTTTAGTGGAGTTCAAAGAATTGGGACCTTGTGGATTTGAAAATTCTTAAGAATGAGTCTTAAGGTACTGGAGTATACAGTTCTTGAACCAATATAAAATTGGTGTGTCATTTACTTTACGCTTTTAATTCTACATTTTGTTCCTTGCTTCAATATTTGTCAACACCAATTTCATTAAACCCCAAAAATCTTCAGATTTCTTATTCACCCCCAACTAAGACATGGACACATAGACTAACAAGTAATATCAAAACGAGTTCGCAGTTGAAAATGTTTGACCGCATCTACAACAAAGATCTACTTGTGCCATTTTCTTTTGAGTTTTGCCTTCACCTCTTTTGCTTTCGAATGCGCACCTTTTGGCACCCTTCACCTCTTGGGGCTTTATAACTACGCATGGTCTAACAAATGTTTCTAACGATGAAATGACTACAAATGGCAAGAATGCCAAGCTTGTTATCCAAGAAGCATTTAACTCATACCTTGTTTGAGAAAATATGATATTACCATTTTACAAAACAAAATTCAATGTAACATAAAAGAATCTTTAATCATTCCTCTTTATCACACATGATCTATTTTCAATGTGATACCACTTTCCCCTTAACTTTTCCCACTTTACTCAACATTTCACTAATTTTTTCATTATCTTTTTTAAATGTCATATTCCCAATGATGCAAAAAATGTAATGGGCAATGAAATATTCTATCTCAAGAGAATATTTACCCCCATATTCATCATCCCTCTCTAATCATTCTTTTTATCTTTTACCCTCCACACTATCATATTTCTCCTTTTTATTACCCCATTAGTAGACCTGACAAAAAATGACCCGACCTGTTTTTGACCCAAAACCCGACCCGAAAACATTGGGTTTTGAATAAAGGTTTTTATGACCGAACCCGAAGTTGACCGAACCCGAAATGACCTGCTAAAAATGAGTCAAACCCGACCGAACCCAAACCCGACCTGACCGACCTGCTAAAGTAAGAATTTTTCAAAATCATACACTTTACTGCTCGTTTTTAGTGTATAAATTTATATTTTCAGGAAAAATTTTAATGATATTGCATAATTATCTTACTTTTTTCTAAAACTTAAGCATTTTTTAAATTCCTTATATTGATTTATATATCTAAAAACTACTTCATAATTTAAAATAAAATAATCTAATAAATTTAATACATTGTTTTTGATATTTTAAACTTATTAAATAGAAAATGTAAGTGTTAATGTGAATTTAAAAATTTAAAAAACCAAAGTCATAACCCGTTGGGTCAACCCGAACCCGATGACACTGGGTCATGAACATAAAGTTCTCAACCCGAACCCGAATTGACCCGAACCCGAAATAACCCAAACTCGAAGTGACCGAACCCGAACTCGACCTGACCGACCGATTTGCCAGCTCTACCCATTAGGCATTCTCTAAGTTGGATTAAAGGATAAAGTTTTGTGTTTAATCAAGGTTGATGAGTTATTATGGGTCAACAACGTACTTACTCTTGGTAAATTATTGATAGACCAACCGCTACACAATTGTAAAGATATTTCTGTAACATACTTTCACAACATTAAAAGAACCTCATCAATATCTTTATGCATCACCATGAAAGTTGAGGTTTTCTTAAAGACTTGGTAAAGTTAGAATTATTCTCGATAATTTTTCCTAAAGTAGCATGAGTACGTTTCATCAAAATTACATAAGTAAACACACATAAAATTAAATTGCATTAAATAAAAATTAAATCACAACAAATGTTTTTATGGTTTTTACATTTTTTGTTTTTAAAGTTATTATTTCTTTTGGTTTTTTTAACATTTTTGTTTTTTTACAAAATTTTTTAAAGTAATTTTTATTTTAAGAACATTATTATTTCCAAACACACGTATCAATGAAAATTAAGTTGAGAGTTTTGGAAGTAAATTTCAAAGATTTACTTCGGGACTTTCTCATTTTTTGTCTACCTCAACGGTGGATTTTAGAAAACGAAGTTTAAGACTCTCCCATAAAGCTTGTCCTCGTCAATTTATTCTTATTTTTTTATTATTTATTCTAATTAGAATCAGTTCAGATTAGAAATAATTTTAAATTTAACTACAATCACATCAGATGAGATCATATCAAAATTTATTTCAATCCGATCAAAACCAATCAGATTAGGTAAAAAGAACAAGTTCTCAGACTTTCTCAAAATTTTCATTGGCAATATCCCAATGTCACCATAAAGGAAGACGAAAGGTCTTGTAAGCATCATAAAACGACTTCATTTCATGCATTTTTTAAATAAAAATATCAAATAGAAATATTTTCATCTTTCTAAGATATATAGTCTCTTCCTTTCAATACAATTTGTAGGAAGCAACTATAGGAAACTAACTTGTGTCCATGTCTATGG